GCAGGGGGCCGGGCAGGCAGGAGATGGGCGGGCGAGACCAGCAACAACCGCGCGCGGAGCCCGCCAGCCGCGCGCCTCATCTGCATGCGTCAGCCCGCACCGCACACTACCAACATCTCCGCCCGGCGGCGCTGTCCATGCGCCGCTGCTGCCCCCCATGTGCGGCCGCGCTTCACCCCCCCCCCCTGTGTGGCCGCCCACCAGTCGTGGCCGACCACAAAGATGGCCCAGAACATCGTGCCCTGCGCCAGCGCGTACAGTGCCCACACGGCCCTGCGGCGGCGGGTTCGGGTGCGGGTTTTGCCGCAGTTTCTTTTCCCCAGGGGTTTCCACTCGCTGCTGGTAAGCCGTCATGTGAATGCGAAGTCAATGTTGTGTGTTTTGCGGCAGCCTGGGCGCAAGAATGCATCTTGGCAGTGCAGGCTGTGAGGTTCAGCGGTGCACCGACTGGCGGAAGCCCGTAGCTCTAGGGGGTGACAGCAGCGGCCCCGACGCGTCTTGATTTGCAAATCACCATGTATCCCTCGCCCCCACCGGCCCCCTCAAGCAACAGAAAACTTCATGTTGGTCCAGGTCACGGCCCTGCGCAGCCGCGCCGGGGTGCGCACCAGTGGTTGATGGTGAGCGCGCCCCAAGCCAGCGCCGCGACGACCGCGACGTCCAGGGCCGCATGGCCCAGAGAACGCATGGGGCTCTGGCGGGGGTTGTTTTGGGGGGGGGCGCGGCTGGGGAAGGGGGCTGAGCGCCTGGGTGGCGTGCATGGGGTCGCGCCATGCGGCGCATGCCATGCGCGTGCCATGCACTCTGATAGTCCCACAGGTGGGCTGCCGAATGGGGGGCCGAGCCCTGCTGCCGTGGTGGCTTTGACCCTGCCGCACAATGCTTCAAAAGCTGATCCGAGCCTCGCGCCGCGGAGGGGCGGGGCCGCACCTTCTTCCAGCAGTGAGCGGGGATCGCCTCGCGCAGCTGCTGGAGCGTGAAGGGCGGCGGCGCCGACAAGTCCACGGGGGCGGGGACGGCCTCCTGGA